CGGGCCGGGCCCGGACCCGGCACCTGGCCACGTCTACATACATTAGCCCAAGATCCATCCACCAACATTTTGTTGAAATCAAGACATCCTCTATATTTGTTAGCAAAAAAGTTATGTGAATTCTTATTCAGTGTCCTCCTTATTACTCCGCACCGCTCTCCACGGACTATTTTACCTCTCTCATTTTTTTAAAAAATTTTAAAAAATTGTAAAATCATCTGAACCAGGCGATTTGAAAATAACTTCGACCAGGTAAGGATTTGAAAATAAAAATCTAATCTAGAGTTTAGCAAAAACTACAATATATCACTCAAAGTGTCACACAATGTGCCGCTCTTTCTGCAGAAATACCTAATTTTATGATATTGAGAATGCACTTTTTCTTTTTTCTTTAAACAATAGATTCAATAAACTCAAAGTTAAGTACGGACAAGCTAACTAGCCATACAACTTCCCAAAAAAAATAATGAGAGGAACACACTCAGATGCCCTAAAGAAGCTAAACAACAAAAATAAAAAACGTCCGAGAGGACTATGACAGAGACTAAGCTAAGATATTGCAGTCATCTAGAGCATTTATGGGCTTAACTGGAGAGTCCAAAGAAGCTAAACAAAAGGAAACCACACCATTGCTCCAACAAGAGCCTAGCCTGGCCCATCTCAAAACAGAACAAAAAAAAAAACCACTAAACTAAGAGTCTAAACACCAACCAACAACTAACAATCAAAGAAAAGAAAACCTGTACAGAGAAGTCCTATCTTAACCACAACAAGAACCGAAGACAACACACCCTTAAGCACATGTAGAGGACTCAAATAAAGTGCTTCACTTTGTTTTCTATTCCGAGCTTCCAAAATCTCTTCCTGACATTCCGGGACTTTGATTGATCATTGCTTCTTTCTGTTTAGACCACGGATCCCTGGATTGTTGGAACTAACTCTAGGCGAAATACATCGCTTTAATCCAGGAGCTTTCATATCAAATAATTGAGAATCAAAAACTCAATAGCGGAAGCGTACCTGAATCCATATGGGATTGATTTGGGGATTTAGCCTTCTAGGTCTATACGATCTGTACCTTTCAGAGAACCCTTTAGCTTTTCTCCGTAACCTCTCTGTCGATGGGATGCAGAAGAGATAATCTGTCGATATCGTATGACCTAGGGACCACAACTCTTATGTACATTAAGTTACATTGGGCATCTCTATTTTAGCCCATCATTAAAATAGAA